ACGATTTCTTGTATCAAATGATTTGTCCTACCTTGAATTTCCGCAACGGTTCAATCAACTTCAGATATTCAGTTAGGCTCGAGTGCAATAGTATGCACCTTGTAGTAATGGCTAGATATCCGTGATTCCTTGGTAGGCTGTCAAATTACACTTCTACCTTTTCCAATCAGAGTTTTCTCTAAATTGCCATCCCGCTTACTAAAACTTCTGTCCTTTTAAAGGCTATCTTTTTTGCATCTATACTTTCGTTTCACTTCTTGGATTTGGGTTGGAAAAGAGTTGCCATTAATCTTGGCCGTCAAAGAACCCAGAGGTTATGTTAGAGAAAGGACGCATGAGCCGTCACAAGGTTTGGCTGGTCCGATTGACTGAAGGTTAGTATGGTTCAACTCTGCTTGTGACCGCCTTTCGTCCTTGTGCCAGCTTGCCCTGCTAAAGATTTTTAGAAAGATTTTAATCTTGTTACGCCAAAGAAGTATAACTTCTTACGGGCGTACATAAGTACACACACACTTTTTTTTATTGTTCTTACTTATTTTTTTATTTTTACTTATAGTATGTTTTTAGAATAAATTTCATATTAATACTTATATAGTCAAAATGTTCAATTTCATTATGTGTGTAAGATATTGTGTTTCTCAAATGAATTGCATGATTTACTAGCATTATGAATTTTACAGTGTAATAAAAATAAACTGTGATAAGCCGGATTAATGGTACTTGCGGCCCGGTGTTGGATTATGGACCGTAGTTTGGAGAATGATATATTGTTTATTTTCATTCTAGTCGCCATCCGGTATAATGGTTAGTGACGCTGACTGCTGTGGCGTAGCGCCTGGGTTCGAATCATAGAGAAGGCATGGATATTTGTAAATCCAAGCCGTAAGTCCTCTCATGAGGTTGGTGGTAACTCTACAAGATTTCAGGTTCTCAAGATAACAGATACATAATAGTGGGAGGCCCCTGATGACCCCCAGGGTGTTCTCCCTCAAAATTGTGGTGGAAACGAGCCAAATCATTCTATCACCTGTATGGTGCTCAAAGCTACGGCTATCGGCAGGCGTCACTTAGCTTTTTGCAATGACGAATTTCGTGGGTCAGGTGGCATTAGAAACAACAGCCTTTTCCTTCTCCTCCCTGAGAGCAAACGCTTTAGTTTCAGCAACTTGAGGGATAGTCGGAAATATAAGTAAATAAACAGTTAAGTTAGAAAATTCGGGATAATAACCTATTTTGCTCTATATCCTACTTAAAGATATTAACTGTAAGGAGAAAAAAAAAATCATTGTTTTCTGTTCTATTTTGGCTTCGAAAATTTAATTGCTCTTTGGATTTTACATTTCTGGATTTGTTTTCTAAACAATTTATAAATTTATTCTGTAACTGAAAAAGGATATCAGTTTTCGACCAAAAAGTATTAATGGAAAGTTTGTTCATATTAGGTCAAAGATGTATTAGATTTTTATAAAATTAAATATTGAAGAAGATAATTTAATTCTGTTAAGTAGTGCTTTAAGCGTGACTTACAAGACGTGAAATTTTTATTTCAATTTCTCTTAGAATCGTAAATGTAACATCCACATAAATCGGTTATGGACGAATTATAACAGAATTAAAAAAAAAAAGAAAAATTATTCGTCCATGCATGTATTTGAATATAATATAATTTTCAAGTTCAGATTATTGGTCCATTTTTTTTTGAAACAGAGCCTTCATTTTGAGAGCTTATGATTATTTTATATTTGTTTTTGTTCATAAAAATTGTTTGAAGTTTGTGACATTAATTCTTAATTTGTATCATATGCATTATTTGTAAGTAATAGATGATGTAAAAGTACGTTTACTTACAATTTGAGTCTAAATGTTCTGTATTTTAGCAGAAATATTTAAGATATTTTTAATGTACAATGATATCAACTCATTACAATAAAAGTGATTTT